CAAGAGGGCCTTATAATAATGAAAGCCATTTATAACAGTAGTTTTTGTTGTAAAAATAATATACTTAGATCATGAACCGACTAAGGGCCGATTTTCCAATCATCAGTTAATTATTGACTGTAAATAAAATTGACATTTGAGAGTTTTTGGTATGGAAATATTGACAAATATTCTAGGTTATTTTAAGTTAACTGAGGACAGTTAAGATTTATCTGGCGTTAGACACATCGACCCTAACATAACGTTTTATTATCTTTTACACTTTATGATTTGTTCTACACTACTTCTACACTTTAAAAAAGCACTTTGGTAAGAAAATAAACAGTGAGAGACCTAAACAATTATTTTCTCTTTTCAAAAACATAGTTCCAAGTCGTGTCAAGAGATGGTGCTGCTCGTAGTCATCATTTAAATACGTTAATAGTCTGCAAATTTTGTTAGTCCAGAAAAATGCTAACTGAAATTAAATATTTTAAGATGTTTTTTAATAATACCAAAGTATATTACCAAAACCACTGAAACGGTACAAATCGTGAAAGAAGAAGATTAATTTAATATTCTATACCACTACTTATATTCAATCCAGACATAAAATTCATATCAAAAAACAAAGAAATGAAATAATAACCAACACACATTCACATTTGCAATGTTAGTAAGGACGACATCAATTAATAGACGTAATGCATTCAGAGAAATGAACAGAGTCATTCCATTAGTCTTTACTAATTGAAACTCCAACATACAGAATGGGTAATCCAATAAGCCTTCCATTCGTAGACATGGTACATATCTCGTTGATTGAGTACCATGTAGATCCAAAAATTGACCGGGGAAATACTGAGACCGTTCTCTCAAAGGTCTTTTTTGTTCATTTTTATTATCTGGACCTAGGGGGGAACACTTTTAATTTGAATTTTCTCTGTCCTTCAGTTTCGGCCTCCGGTATCAATAGCAAATCTGCAAATGGATTTTATCTTTTTATTTCTATGCTTGTTTGTGTATTATGTTTTGACTTATCCATAGCCGCCCATGGACACTCTGAACACGTAGTAGAGGCGTTATCATTACCGGCCTATTGAGAAGTAGAAATTTGTGAATTGTTGAGGATTCAGGAATTATAGAGATTGGAGAGGATTTGAATTGGGCCTTCGGTAACCTCACCCACACGACGAAACACAGCGCAAGCGTTGGTTCACGTCGGTTTTCTGTAAGGCTTTGGTATCGTGCTGAAGCTTGGATTTCCCACACTTAAACTATATACTAAACTAAACACCACCTTAAACGTTAGTTTAGACAACCGTGAACGTAATAAGTTTATTATAACTTATTTCATTTCAAAACGGTTTTCCTCAAAATTATAACATTAAGTAGATGATAAAATCTGTTTATTTTCAATGTAGGTATTGTGTTTTTGCCAGAACAGAACTTTTCGCCTATCATAATCTTCAAAAGTATCGCAATACACGTCGATAAAAGTTATGAGTGAGCTCCCCATAATTATTTATTCACATTGCGTGGCCGCTTAACTACTTAATAGATTTTGTTTGCTTATGTTTTTTCACCTCTGTCTACCTCCATCTTTCATAAGAAGCTTAAGTGCGGTGGTTGTGCAAGCTCAATGAATGTTTATCAAAATTTTTTAAGAATAATCAGTTGATGATGTTTTCCGCGGCAGTTGCCACCCCTAGGAGGGTTGGGCTGTAATCCCTAGGGCATTTCCTGTGCGGTTTGCCGATTTACACTGTTTTAGTGGTCGAAAATATAATTTTGTTTTGAGGGGTCAGAAAACAATTTGCATTATGGGAATATGCAGTTGTAACAACAATAATAACAGCCAGTATTGCTCATTGGACATACACAAAAATAACAAAACTTAGCATAACTATTGTTTGTTTTATCCAAATGTTTTATTTGTTTGTTTACAGGTCGGTTTCCTCAGTCAAATTTGCGTAGCTTGCTACAGCATGCTATACAGAATACTACCAAACACAAGGCCTATGTATGCAATGGCTTTGAAGAACTTAGAGAGATGGAAGGCAAGAGCGGAGAGAATAAAAAGGAAACAGTCTAAAATAGAAGCTGAAATCGAATCCAATACCGATGAAGACTCTGAACCTACTGGCATTATAGACAATGTAGAAGAAAACGTACCTAAACTTAAGATAAAGGAAGAAGCAGTTTCAGTAGTAGATGTCATGCATGAATCTGTATCTTGGGAAGAAGATGAAGAAGAGATAATTGATAATGAGTTGACAAAGAGTGGGATCTGGAAAGACATTAATGGAGTCACGTGGATTGATGAAGAAGGAGTAGTCGTCAGAGAAAGTGTTTTAAAAGCTATTGTTAATAAAGAAAATGGTGAAGAACAATGAATGTTAGAATTATTTAGTTGTATGATAATTGTAGTAGTAGTATTGATGTGCAATAAATTCTGTAGCCACAATTGAAATTAACGCCCGAATACTGAAAGGCTACTGAATTTTAAGTTGCACTTAAATATCGTGTCATTTCTATCAATTTACAAGGAATTTGTAGAGTAACTATATTGAAGCGCGTTTTAAACATCACTGGCGTTTGAGTATTTGGGCGCAAGACTTTTATTTAATATTCATAAATAAAGACAAAGAATTTGGTCAATAACAAGAATTGTAATTCTCTCAAGACTATTCATTACGGGGATCTTCCACAATGACGTAAGGAGATACACAATGCACAAATCCCTTGCTACCTGTTAAAACCATATTAGATTAATGGAAGGACTAATGGATATATAGACAACAAGCTCAGCTTTCGTCCTATTATGATAACATATTGCACGCCATCATGTCAGCATTAATTAATACTCGATACAAAAGCACATAATAATATAAAAATACACTTCATTGTCAGACAATGAAATGTTGAACGTTTCAATACTTTTTTTTTTATTTCTATATTTGCAATAGCATCAGTTTAAGAAAAACGTACGTCATATGTATTAGGTACGCTGTGTCAGACTAGTACTCACGGCGCGACGTTCTCCCGCGCCCGTGGTGGCGGAATGGTGGCGATATTTTCAAGTCACGAGATCGTATTTTTCCGCAATTCCGCAGCCACCGCGGTTGCGAATATCGCCTGCAAACTTGGCGGTTTATAATCAGAAGACCGGTGGGCGGTAAACAATCAGTTGGGTTCCAGACCGGCGGTCCCATAGCGATCGCCCGCCAACCGATAGCAGTGAGAAATTACTTTGATTTCTTACATACATATCAGAATTTTACAAAGACTGCGGGCCCACAATCGAGCCGGGTGCGGGAGAAAATCGCGGCGTGAATCATTACCCTCAAGGCCGATTAAAATTAATAACAAATTAATAGGTAATGAAACAATAATAAAGGGGACACATCGCTACTGCGACTGGTCGATGTATGTGGCTATAGTAACGAAAGGTTAAGCTTTGGTTCTGACCTGACCTTCACAATAATAACTATTTGCATCTTGCAAAGACTATACAAAAACTACATAAAAACACTGATACTTATACAGGTAGCAACGATGATCTATCAAACGTTGCTACAAGCTAAAAATACCCATAGCAAATATTCAGAACCCTGCCCGAAGATTGAGTTTTAATAAAAGTCTGTTTCGCTAAAAGGTTTTCAGTTGTACCTGTAATTTTTATATGTGTATTATTTCGTGGTAAGTCCGGTCCCCCTGGGGGAGCTCACCCTCTTTCTACACCACCTATAACCCCCTTGCAAAAGGGGAAGGGGTGTGTGTTGGTAGAATCTGAACTGTTGGAGTATATTTGTATTTAAATAGTTGTTACAGTTATATTTTAACCATGCATTGTAATTAATGCTTGTTTATACTGATTTATTACGGAAATGTGGTGGTAATGCAAACATCAAATATTATTGTGCTGCGAAATTAATATGTTGGTTATTGATTTTAATGAGGTAGATAGGCCTTTGCCTTGCCGTGAGACGATCATGGCTAAAAATAAAATATATAAACAATTGCTTTTAAACATGAAGCGTTTCATTCTCTAAATTTTGGAGAACTCAGTACTTACTCTTGTTATATTCGACATTCAGTAATAAACTTTGCACAATGTGTATGGGTAGCAGTTGTATTAACGGACCTCAGTTCGAAATCCTGTGCTTCCAGGGAATTTGCCAATTGAAATTCCTGCTGGTTACATGTTGCAAACTCAGGCTTATGGCAATTAGTGAAACGGACTGAGGAAATGCTGTATGTACTGTGGTGCATTCAAATCGACTACGATACTGGGGAACGTTACAATCATTTTTGAAATTGAAATGTATTCCAGTTATGTTTAAGGTGTGCATGTCGAGTACGGTTGCCTATTCAATGCTGGTTCTGTTATTATAATTCACACAATATTTTGATACCAAATTATGTTTTAAGAAAGTGATAAACACGTTAAAGAGTTAGTGTAATTAAATTATGGAATGCACTACCCCATAGTATAAAAATGGCTCCAAACAAAATGGCTTTTAAACGTAGTGTTCGTGAGGCCTATTTAAAGGCGCTACAACGCTGAGTTCGTGTCTTCTTTAATTTATATCTTCGTCAATTTATATTATATTATAATTATATATTATGAAGTTATTTATGTATGTACATATTTTGTGTTTATTATATATTTTTATACAGTATGTTATACAGTATTTATTATTACTATTAGTTATTTATTTTGTTTTTTTTTTTGGATATTACACAGGCCCATTTTTGCTGAGCTTACATTTAACCCAAAGGTTGACTGGGAGAAAATGCCATATGGCATTAAGTCCGCCTTATGTACCTTATTTTGTGTGCATTAAAGTGTAAAATAAATAAATAATAAACAAGAAAGGTACTATTTTTTATATAGTAATCATATTTATTTGTGAAACTATATATTTATATGTATTTGTATGATTATAATTTTGTAATCTAAAATATTAATAGCCTAACTTGTTATTTAAGTATCGTAAGATATTTACAAAACAGCATTGTATTGTAAACACAATATTATAATTACTTAAATTTTAGATAACATTAGTTATAAAAGTATTTTATGTGGCAGGGAAGCGCGTCACTCCACCCTTCGCGATGTCTCTGCCTCTCTTGTCGTAGAATGACATCAGGAAGCTGAAAGTATAGAAAAAAGGAGAATGAGAAAAAAAATTATACAATATTCAGGCAAGAGACGACTTAACCAGGGTGATGTCGGCTGGCCTAACAGAAAACCAGCTTAAAACAACATGTGCGTTTTATTTCTCCGTATGAGTGAGGGTCGCCATACTCGGCGCCAATTGTTGAGTGGTGGTTGGTGAGCTCATTCCCCATCTCTGAAAATTCCTTTCAGTGATTTTTACAATAATGTTGCCGTAATTGGAATCCAAAAAAAGGCGTGCGCCTACTTTACTGACAATACTAAAACTGAAACCTACCCCATACATGATATGTACCTAAACCTAATGTTTAATATTATTAAGGTACGGCATTAGAGTGGTCGGTTATTGGTTGCCAATTGTTCCGCCTCTATAATAGGATATCTGCATTTCATCGATAATGTCATAAGCCTCACGTAGTATCAAAGCCAATTATCGTCAAATTATTCCCTTTGTGACAGATGGAGCCTATTTCCAAAATTATCGGACAATGCTGAATTGAATGATCAAATGCCGTGTGAGAAGATAACTTTTTTTGCCCTATAAAAGCTAGCCTTTTGTAGGTTCCTAGTTACCTGACTACAAGTGAACTGCTTAAAAGTTCTTACTTTTGCCATTTCACTGAAAGAGAGCAGCGCATTCTCTGGTAAATCAGCACCTTCGAAATTGAGATTTGCAACCCGATTGTAGGAAGGCTAAGTCAGGTTCAAAAAAAAACATAATTACGTTATTTTTGTTTTAAAAGTTCTCATGTCTTATCCTCCTGAGTCTAATGCCTTATCTAGCATTGGACTCGGTTATTGGTCATGACCTACCGATGTTTACGTTGATCATAAGAGTGTAAAAAAATACTTATTTGAAAATTGATACCTATTGGGAGCTCATTGCACGCTAAGCCTTTCGGGTTATTTTTAAAATACTCCAGTTTTATTTCTATACTGATTTTATTTTGATTTTTATAATCTTTGGTCCCAAACGAATGTCATTACTATACCGCAGCCCAGTTTAATAACAGCGACCTTTGGCAAAACGTCTGTTTACACATATTTTGAGCGAAGTCTGCGGTTGGGATCACAGCAAGGTATTTTGTAATTAGTGCCTATGAGAGTGCATGAATGCATTTCAAATAGCCATTTGAGTGTGCTCGTTTTGTTGTGAACGCTTTGACGTGGATTCCGAAACCGCAACGTGCATATTGACTGGAATCTATGATCAAATTTTTGCAGCAGATTTTTGGTTGCACTAAGTATCCTGTGTTTTGAGTGATAATGTGCATTTTAATTATGGTCCATGAATGGGATTTAGGAGAGTAGTATGAGTGCGGTTGTCAAAATATCCATGTTTTACACTCTGGCCATTTTAAGAGCTATTCATTTCGCAGTAGTTAAGTTAGGGGTAATGATTTGTGAAATAATTAATGTAATTAATGTAATTACTTTAGATATGCTGAACACTCCATGTTTGATGGGTATTTACGAAAGTGAATCGGGAATTGTATACTTGGTTAAGGTTAATGTATGTAGTGTTTATTAAACAGTTCTGATTTGGGCAATTGTGTGTATTTTGTATCGCAGTATTCATTATGCAATCTGTTATCAATATAATTATCTATGTCATTATCTGGCCTTTGGTCCTACAGTAGTAAACTTACAAATAGGGAACCAAATGCCATTTTTGGAAACTTTTACTATAATTTAGATTTAAATTTGAAAAAAGTATAGTCAACCACTTACTTATCCCTGGGAATGCCAAGTTCCTTTTCGATGAATTCGGTGACCTCTTTAGCGATGATTCTGTTTTCTTCAACTCCGAAGTTCCCAATGGACTCCAGGGTTGCAACTGCGCTGGGATCAGTGGAATTGCCTCCAAATGACAATGAGCAGTCACTGGACACCATGCAGATGAAGAGCTGTGAAATGGGATAGTAATAATTTACTATAATTAACTAGTTACATATTTGTTTGTTTGGTTGAACGCGCGAGTCTTCGAAATACTGGTAATTTCAGGTACTGGTTCGAACAGAGAAATATTTTTAATTCGAATTTAGAGGGTGATTATGGTCAGTAACGGAAAGCAAGATGGTTTTGACATATTTATATGTTTGTCCAAGGGCTGGCTGACTATCAGCATGGTACGTCAGATATCAAATGACTTTAAAAGTTATTTTGATCTTTATTTCAATGAGTATAGAGTTCATGTTACTTTATTTCGATACTACGATGCTACACAGAGTCAAAGAGTCAAACAGTGACAAACTCAGCTAAAATTTTGAATATAACAAAGTGATATCACAAACAACTATTTGTTGAAATGTTGAATGTTAAGGGTTGGCGCTCACTGCCGGCATACCGTGGCCGTGGCATTCTGCTGGAAGCCCAGCCACTCTGCCGTGGCCGCTATACAAGTTACAGCTTTATTTCAACTAGCTTAGCAATCAGAATTCTATGACACAAAGTAAGTTCTTCATTGTATTTGAAGTGTCGCTGCTGCATAGAGTTTATACTAAAGGATGACACTCGTACTAAGTTGTGAAGTAGTGTAAATGAACGTAGAATATTTGTGGTGTAGTTTTCTAATTTATATTGCACACGATGAACAACTACTTAAAAATGTTTTACTGAGCTTAAATCTTTGACTGAGGGCCGATATTTCCAAAGTCACGATAATTTTTAATAAGGAATAGCTTTGAATGTTTGACAATTCTTCCATAGTGAAAACTGACAAGTTTAAGCTACAGTTAAGAATTAAGTGATGATTGAAAACTCGGCTCTTAGTCAGCAGTTAGTTAATCCCATACATTCGTACTGCTAACTGTTAAATATTTTCTTAGATACATTTTCAAAGAAAGTATTTCTGTAACAATTTAGTTTACTTTAAGAAAATGTATTGAAAATGTGATTTATATTCGCGAAAGCAGAGCAAAGGTTATATTTAAAAAAATATACATAACAAATATTAATTATCGGGACTATTTCAAATCAATGTATTAGGTACTGTCAAAATAGATTTATCTTTCTTCACAATAAAAGAGTTTTCTTATATTTTAAATAAAATTACAATGACTATCTTCTAAAATAAATAAGTGCTTAATGTAATAATATCAGTAAAATAATAATTCGTAATACTTAGATAAGTAAATTATGTTTACTCACGATTATCGGTTACGTAATATTCTAAAAGATACGTGAAACGTTTTAAATATTTATAGCTGCAGATAACCAACCTATTCCTGGGTATACAATATATATTCCTGGGTATAATTATAATATTAATTATTTTAAAATACGACATAAAAATGTAAGTTTTGCTATTTTGAGATATTTATATATTCTAGCCGATGCTAGAGTAAACTATCTCGAAACTATGTATCCTGAATATTGCATACCGGATCTATATTACTGAATATAGATATATAGAGGTATTACTGAAGATAGATCTATACTACATACTGAATATAGATTCAGGAGTTTTATTTTACTTAAAAGTAACATGTAAAAATGAAATAATAAAAATCATACAAAAATGACTTATTAGGCGTTTACGAATACAACAATAAAAATATTTATCTAAATCAGTGCAGCCGTTTACGATATTTACGCTCAGCAATACATTATAAGACAACATAACATTTAAATCAATATAAACTTTTTAAGCATAGATTTAAGGTTTAAAATTATCATAACACTTACATGTGCAGGCTTTTTCACAGTCCGCGACAGGACAGGAAGAATTTTGTTGACAAAATCAGTCGGAATTTGGCTCTTAGGCAAATTAGTAAACAATTTGAATATCGGCATTGTGAACGAGTTGTAGACCCGAGTGTGAAGAGGTTACTGATACAAAACACAGAGAATGATATGATATAACAACTATTATTGTTATCAATGTTATTTCAAGTGCAAGCCTTATCAGTAATATTTTATTTACGGCTTGGTTTTAGGGATCGGCTGATGTTATCGCGTTTTTGACGTTTACTTGTCATGAGCCAAGATTGTTGATAAGTAATTATGTTCATGTAATACAAATTCGGTGTTGTTTTTAGTTCTTTTTATTATATTTAGAGTCGAGTTATTGTTTTATTATTTTGTAATTGTAATTAGGTAGCTTCCGAAATGAGGCGTGCTGAAATTAAAATGGTAATGATAATAATTCTTTTAGTAGCTCACTAAAAAGCCGTCTATTTTCTTATTTATTTCGCGAATAGATAGATAAAATTCAGCGAGTAACACGACTTCTTTTTTTTTGTTCTAAGAAGTCAATTCTCGGTTTTGGAGATGGGAATTTGAGTAGTCCCAAGTCGGCAATTAGGCCTACGGCAACCTCACTCACATGACGAAACACAACGCAAGAATTGCTTCACGTCAGTTTTCTGTGAGTCCGTGGTATCACTCCGATCGAGCCCATTCGTGAAAATCCTATTGAAAAATTTAATTTATTTTGGTCTCACTTTCTGTGATCTCTCTGTATATTCGATGGTCAGTTTATACTGGTTTAGTTCAGTTTAATTTGTAGCTATGTTCGTGTACTTTGTACACCCGGCCACACATCAATCTATACAAAACCAGTTTACCCTGATGTCGCGTCGCATCATCTTTCCGCACATTTAACGTTCAGTTTATACTAGTTATGAAAGCTCGATGTGTAGCCGTGTGTGCTGTACTATACAGAATCACTCTATACGCGAAAAAATAAAATAATAATAAACTAAGCGTTAAGTATGTATTTAATTATTTCTTCACTAGTACATTCACATATCCAATCAAATCATTCGCTTGTATTCATTATTGTACTTTCATATGAATCGGACGTCTTGATTAACTTATTAGAAAATAAAATAAAATAATTACGATTGCAATATCGTGACCTAGATTAACAATTGCACATTAACACGTTAAACGCCATGGCAGTCACCGGTGACCGACATTAGCGGAGGATTTGCCTTCAACAGTTTTTTATTGGCAGCCAATGCCTTAATACTGGACAAAACGTGCGTCATCGTGTAAAAGTATGAATTGACAATGTTCTGTAATTGACAAGTGAATACTGTGCATCGTGGAAAACAGCCCTTTTGCCCAGAGTAACCGGGTTGTGCGTTCTCCGCCTGGTACACCTGCATCTACATCTGCATCGACCTTACAACCACCGACCCAAAGTACCGATGCCCCTGAAGTTGTCGCGACGCCCGAGATCCAGAAATGGCTAACGACAATCGACCAGACCCTTACTGACATATGCCATATTGTCAGTGATGGCAAGATGAACTCGGAACAAAAGCTGCGAGTCAACGCCCTATGCAGGAGAGTGAGTAACGGGACTTCACAGATGGCAGTACTTTATCAATCCCTCAAAGCCAGAGCCCTACTTGCCCACCAAAGTGCTTGTAATCTTGAGAATCAATTAGACCTCTCCCTGCAGCTTAAAGACCTTCAACAGAGAATTGCTGAAACTCCTATACCTGCCCGAATAAACTCTTTCGCCGATATGGTAAAAAAAGGTGCGAATAATTTCATCCAGCCCTTAAAAGTAAGTTCTGTAGTCATTTATCCCAACGACAAAACTAAGACGAGTGATGAGACGAAAATACTGGTCCAAAAAATTATCCGCCCTGAAGAAATGAAATTACAAGTTAGAGGCCTCCACAAAACTAAAAACGGCGGCGTCATTATCAGTACCGAGTCAAAAGGCGATATAGTAAAATTAAGACAGTCAGCGCAACTTATAAGTTCAGGCCTAACTATCGATGAGCCGAAGAAAAGAAAGCCCAGGGTCGTCATCATAGGAGTGCCATCGGCTATGTCCGACGTCGACATGTTAACATGCTTATACCACCAAAATCTGGCAGACAAGTTGGAAAACTGCAGTCTTGACACTTTCTTGACGACAACAAGGTTAAGCCATAAATCAGGGAGGAGAGATGCTGAGACCTGCAATTATGTGATCGAAGTGACTGCAGTCATTCGAAAAGTCCTAATATCCCAGGACCGAGTCTTTATAAATTGGTCATCATGCCCTGTTCGCGACTTCACGCTGGTGACCAGGTGCTTCAAGTGCCATCAGTACGGACATGCTGCTAAATCATGTCGACAGACCTCTTTTACTTGCGGACATTGTGGCGAACAGGATCATTCCATAAAAGATTGCCCAAAAAAGTCAGATGAGCCGAAATGTGCTACTTGCTCGTGATTGTGGGGCTTCAAGAAGCCCCACAATCACACGACTGGTGCTACTGAATGTCCTGCAAAAGTTATGGCCGAAAAAAGGTACATAAACTCGGTAGACTATGGAGATACGTAAAAACGCTATAAGTTTAAATATTACAGTTGCGCAATATATGCAGGTTGACGTACTCATCATCTAGTTGCTGTCTAAGCACATTATTGTAATTTGTACTAAAACAGCAAGTGTATGATTGTGGACTCTAACCTAGTTTATATCTCTACCGATGCAAGTAATTCTTAGACTATAGTGACAAATAATATGTTTCTGTCTTACATAAATCATAATTTTAATTATCAGAGTATTGCATACCTAAGCTAACTACCTACACTATATTGTCATATTACACTTAAGTTGTTCCACCTCTGCCTATCTCTTCCGGGAGCATAAGGCGTGAGGCTATGTATGTGTGTATGTATATTAAATAGTCATATTTTAGTTTGTCAGAATTATGTCAAGTATTATGTTTGTAGAAAAAGAATGTATTGCAATAAAATTATAATTATGTTAGATCTACTCTCGCCTGTGACACAGGATTATCCTAGTACAGGCACCTAACCATGTGAGATCTATTTTTCTTATCCAGGGAATATTTTTGTATTTGTGTCCATTTACATTTATGAATAAAGATTATTTATTTATTTATTCAGTACTAAGTTTAACTGAAATAAGAAAACTTTATTTAGGTACATATACACGAAAATGTACTACATTTAAATCTAATAAAATTAGTTCAGCCTACTTCACTCTACGTAATTAATTAAACACAGAGCAAATGTTTCAATCAAGTCTAGAACATCATCCTCCAACTGACGAGCAAAGCAGACCAAGTTAACAAATTAGAGCCTAAATGCAGTAGCAATTAAGTTCTGATTTGTTGCACCAGTGATCTGCACATTCATTATTAACTCACTTACTTAAGCTTAGTACTGCCTCAGGGAATAGGCGGGAGTAGATGGCGTTGGCGTCGAACTAAATCACGACACGTTTCACAACAAACGACGAATAAGTCCTGGGGGCATGTTTTGTAAATGCATTCAGTAAGATACAGCACTAATGCGGAAAGGAAAATTTTATGAAGACTATAAAAGTATAGTAAGCTATTGTAAGTATTCTACAATTTGTTCTGCAGTTAAGGAATAAAGGAAAAGTTACATTGTATATATTATTTATTTCAAAAGATTTAAATAATATATTATCGTAAAAAGATTAAATAATTTATTTTATAAAGCACATTAAAATCAAACAGAAGTTTATAATAGCATGTACCTAGCTGTGTACCTAAAAATAAGAAATCCCACTATAAAAATGTGATTTATTTTTCTCTCCGCAACCGCAATTTTTGTGTTTTATAAAATCTTTACTATGAATCAATAGCAAAGCTATAAACCAATTAAAGCAAAACATTGGTTGCCAAACCATTTTCCATAATGCAAACACATAAAAGTCCAATTCGATTCACTTCCACCCGTCGTCCGTCTGCACCTATTTGCTAATTAATGGACAAAGTTCGTCCAACCGTATCTTCAAGCGAAGTTCAAAAGAGACATTATGGAGTCCTGAATCAACATTCAGAAAATCCTGTGACTATTTCAGTTTCAAATAGAGTTATAGCATCATACATATCATAGTTGATGACCGAGTAGACCTCTACCATGAGTTTAAAGTAAAAGTATTTCGATACTCGATAGTGACGACGTAAAATTTATCTATGACAAATATTTACAGCGCCTCTAGCGGTCACTTATGGAACTAAAATTTGGCATCCAAAAAATTCACGTCGTCGCAATCGAGTGTCGAGAAATACTTTTGCTTTAAAACGGTGCAAGCTCATGGTAGAGGTATAGGTTGCTTTTAAGTATTTGTTTTTGAGTTTCCCGATGTTTGTAGGAGCCTGTAGTTCCATAACTTCTCCTGAGGAAACTTTCCAGACTTAATTAATTATTGGCTCCTGGTTAGATGAGGATGCAGGAGGTACTTAGTCTGTCGCTTTAATTTAAGTAATTGAATTTAGATGTTTCTTTACTGAGTAAAGCTTTTATAGTTGACATCGAGAGTTTTGAGATGTATCTTCTCAAGTGTTCATCGGTTGTATATAAGTGGTTTAATTTATTTCCCTTAATGTTTTCGTGATAGTATGAAGATGAAAATAACCATTGTCTATGTGTACAGTGGTTAATTACGGATAAAATGTCATATAAGGCTACTTCAAGCTACTTCGGGAAATAATAACCTTAACTTTGTGTTTCGTTTTGTTCAAACACAAAAGCAGCTCTCGACAACTCGGAACACTGGACTACTTGAGTTTTCAGTGGAAAAACAACGAACATTTTTACCGATATTTTCAATTGTCTTCTCAATATTGATACTTATCTTTCAACGAACGCATGAAATAATAATCCCACGTATCCTAATTAATAAATGGATTATTGAACAAAAGGTAACGCTACATTTTAAAAATAAATCGCAGCATGCTCTGACCAGTTTGTTTGTCAAGTAGTCACCGCTCCCCTTTCTGCTTTCGTTCGACGAATCCTTCAAATCAATGTAATTATGAGAGGGGTTGGTTTTCTGATTCGATCCCCTATAGGTAGGTAGTATAGATACAAATAGGGACTATTTGTATATTACATTCACTTCTTT